GTCATAAAAGCAAGCATAATAAAGTGAATGTGTTCAGCAAGTTGTTAGATATTTTTATAAAGGGAGATTTTTGCTGACTGTGACAAATGTCTAAAACTTCAACACTGAACTAATCATTAGGGAGAACAGAAACATGAATTTTCGTAAGGAGAAAAGAAAAATACTGAATCAGCATTGAAACTGGCTGCATGAACAGCAGTCCTGATGCAGAGGACCCGGAGGTAACAGGGGATGGCAGGTTGAATATAAGCTGAAAGTGTGGTCTTATTGTACATAAGGCAGATTGTGTACTGTGCCACATTAAAATCATGGCAAGCAAGACTGAGGGAAGTTATTAGCTTCCTCGGTATTATCGATGAATCCCCATCTGTGTGCAGATATGGGTCCCTAAGTTTAAAAGGGCTGTGGAGAAACTGGAAAGGGTCCAGCAGAGATCAGCTGAGATGGCCTGGGACCCAGAACATGTGTGAGGAGCTGGACTTTGTTGGTCTTGTGAAGAGGTGATCTACCATCAGCCTACAGCTATATAAATTAAAAGCTGATGGGCTACACTCTTCTTTGCAGCAGCTGGTGATAACACAAGAAGTGATGGACTTGAGCTGTAGCTTGGGAGGCCCAAGGTGAACTTTAGAAAAAGATTGGTTTACCAGGGGGGTAGTGCAGCATTGAAACAGGTTATTCATAGAGTGTCTAGAATCTCTGATCTTGGAGGTTTTCAAGACTTCATTACACAAAACCATGGCTGACCTAATCTGGCACGGCCACAGTCCTGTTTCAAGAAGGAGGCTGGAGTAGAGACTACAAGACGTCCCTTCCAAATAACATCTTTACAGTTTTAGGATGGTTTTTGTATCCAAGCTACCCCATGTGATCTATAGTTGTACGCATTCTGAAAGCAGGTAGGAAGACTGAAGCCACATCAGCATCACACAACTTAAAACACTGTCTTAGAACTGAAGTCAAGGATTTGTGTTGAGAAGTAAGAGTGCTCTAAGCCCCTTTTCGAAGGTTAGAAGGTGAACTGGTACTCAAGTGAAAAGTTACACTTCTAACACCATTTCCACAGAGATATCACGAAGAAGAAACAGAGATCCTGCAGAGACAAAGTAGCTTTTGCTGTCTTCCTCAAAGACCTATAAAGCCCCAAACCTTTCTCTGCTTGTGAATGTCTGGCAAGTAAAGATGAGATGAAAGTCATGAGTTACTGGAGAGACTCACTTGAACAACCAGAAGCTCAACAAGGCAGACCACACTGTTTCTTTTACAAGCTCTGGTGAAGTACTTTCCACTTATTGAAGGTAATAAATTAGAAGTAGAGGAATGGCATAGAATTCACCAATTTTCTAAAGGTAAATTTGGTGTTTAAAAAGTCAATGTAGCCACTGATTCAAAACCAGGGTTTTTTGAAAGCTGTTTCAGTAGGTTATGCCTACATTGTGTGTGTAGGAACTGTGTGCAGACCATCATGCCACCATTATGTGTGCAGAAACTAATAATTTATTGAGGGTTAGTGCTTAAATCCTATACCTAGCATAATTTCATGTGAAAAAGTGAGTCAAACACTTTTGACCGTAGCACAACTATTTGCTGATATAGATCAGCCAAGACACTGTGTCTAGGTACCGAAAGAAATCTCTCTGCAATTATCCAAGACAAGACTAGCACAATGCAGTCTTCGTGGTTCACCCGTTGAGTCAATTGTTAGCTGCATTTGTATGGTGTTTGATTAACTGAAACTGCTGATTTATGGATTATATTTAAATTTTTACCTGAATTTGGCTATTTGCTTATTAATGTATCACTATTTTAGTAAAATCATAGTAACTTAGCTTAGTGTATGCTCAGTTAAGTACATACTGATCTGTTCAATATTGGGAAGTTGCATGGAATGAACACTGAGACCTTAAGTAAATTTAGACGAGAAATTTGCAAGTCAGTTGTCTCTCTGGAGGTTCATTTCCTTTCAGCAGCAATTCAAAACGAATTAATCCACTGCAGAATTAGCTCTTTCCAGAAATTCAAATCTTGCGCAGAACAGCGTTATTGAACAGAATAAGCAGTTTTACTGGTCAAGCAATTGGGGGTGACTTCTCTTTGGAAGAGCTTACAGGATTTTTAAAGTATGAAAGTTATAGCAGTTTGCAACAATGGTACAGAAAGAGATTAAAGAAAACAGGAACCTGAACTGTATGGGAAAAAGCCAGTTTTATACTTTATGATTTTTATTAAGATTTTAGGTATAACCTTCTCATCTGCTGCCTCTGTTCCACTTGTTATTACAAATTTGAAGCTGTTAATAATATTTGCATTTACATTTTCTCCATACTTCTGAATCGTGACATTCTTTTGAAATACGAGGTTAAAGATACAGAGTCTCATAGCCCAAAATCCTGCTCTGTTGCAGACAATCTTATAGCATAATCTTTTGAAAAAAAAAAAAAAACAAACACCATTGTTTTCTTGCCTGGCAATGTAGAAACATAGAAATTGTAAAGATGTAAAGACAAGGACTTTACTGCAGAAGCAGCAGAATAGCTTCTTCAGCAGCTACATATATACCACTAAACACCACTAAACTGATTTCAACAGAGATTTTTTCCATTCACTTCCTTCAAGATGAAGGAGCAAATGCAGTTAGAAGCTGAATTATATTGGGATGGGGCAGGGAGAGGAGGGAATAGGGAAAGAGGAAAAGGAAGATAAACCACTCCTGTAGCATATATGACCTTTTCCTAGTTGTTAAACAAAGAATGACTTGAATTTTCCAGGGCAAAAAGTGATTCTCTGATTCTCTAGTCTGCTATTCAAAACAAAATTGTAACATTTGAGTTTCTCCCAGCCTTGAAGATTTTCATGTTTCAATCTTCCCAAAGACTGAATAACTAATGTCTGTCTACTTTCAGAAAACAAAGGCATGGGTAAATTCCCCAGAGCAGTTGTGCAAGTCTAAGAAATGTATCTCATTTCCAATGTGGAGCTCAGGAGCATGTTTTGAGCTGTCTGGGCTCTCTACAGAGAACATAAGGAGAGAAGGTGCATCCAAATGCAACTCTAAACAGCCAGCTCAGACAGATAACCTGTGGTGAGCATTTGCTTGAAATGAATATGAATCAATCTCTCTCTGCTGGTAAGAAATGAAGCCTGAAGTGGTAAGCTCAGATGTAAACATGTAAATCGTATCCATCTTCTTTTAGTCAAATGAATCCTCCTGAAATAGTTAAAGTCTGACTAGAGTAAGCTGACAGCTAATATTCTGTATACATATGACTCTTAAGTCTGAGTCTTCTCAGATACTTCTTTGGAGGCTTCTAGGAAATATCTCCATCTACATAAGATCCTCTAGTTGGATTCTTGTTGAAGATGATCCTAAATCCTTCCTTTCAAAAATGAAGTTTACTCTTTAAAAAACCCCAAACAAAACAACCAAAAATCCCACTGAAAAGTATTCGATCATTCTTCTGGAAGAGTGGGTAGAAAATTTCCCTCATAATTCAGTGCTCAGGCTCATTCCTCCTTATGCCTGCAAGTGCAAGAATCAGGACTGTAGCTTCTTATCTCCTCAGAAAATTTCCTAATCATTAGTCCACAGGCTGTTTGACATATAGCAGCTAGGAGGAAAAGTTTGCATCAGGAGCGCCACCTCCCATCTTTGCCTTTTGGAAATGTGTGCTGTTTAAAGAGGAATTGCGGACTGCTTGGAAGGCAGCTGGAAGAGATCACACTAACACATGCTCTCACTGTTCTGGTCGCTGCTCCACAGACATGGGGACCCCTGTGGCTGGTGGCCATGCCCAGCTGCTGCATGCAGACCCCCATGCACACAGAATAGGGAGCCCCATGCCCAGGAAAAGAGTTAGAAATGGAGTTTAATGGGCAGACAGGACAGACTGTGCTAGACAGGCATGGCTTTATCACAGAACATAACACACTGTAAACATTGTTATCTGAGTTCTCCTGGAAAAACATAATTATAATGCTAGCCACTGCCTCTGTAGGTTGCCAGTGTACAGCCAGTAACAGAACTGGATGTGGCTGCCGTGCATGGGGCACCACTGCACCAGACCGGTTTCCTCAACAAAATATTGCACCTGCTCTAGCAGGGAGAGAACTATTTGGGTTTTTGTATACTTCGTTTTCACTATCAGGCATTAGTTATGTTTAAGTTCCATAAATATGGTCTTGTGGTTTTAAAAATAATAAAATTCTCTATATAAGCTCTGCAGCATTTTTTTCTTTTGTTCATATGCTACTACAAAATGGAAAAACTTGTGTAACCAGGGAATTTCAAGAACAAATCTACTTGCTATAAGTTTCTCCCATGTTTGTCCAGATCCAAAAGATTTTCTTGCAAGACCTTTTCATGGCCAGCCCCACATCCAGGAATCCAAATTAAAATCTTCCTGTCTTATTCATTTAGTGAAGAACATAAATGTGTGAAAAGCCCCTAAAAGCTGGTATAGCACATAAAATGAATAAAATAGTCCACAAATATTTCATTGTGGAGAACTTATTATGCAGTTAACATAGCAACTAAATTAGAAGCAAGTAAACAATAAAAGTAATCCACAAACTTCACAAACTGATTTTAATGGAAGAGTACAGTTAAAAGAACAACCAGATTTGAAGCACGCTATGCAGTCTCCTTAGTATTTTTGGTTTACTAATCTTTAGGATGATTCCTTGCATGCTGACAAGTATTCAGAGCCTTCTTACTGCAGGAGAGTACAAACCATCAGGTTTACACCCTGTATTGTCTAGAATAATCTTCCTCCTCCTCCATAATTCTAATGCTAGAGACAGCAAAACATTCTGCTATTCAAGGATTTGTATGTGGTTTTGGAAACTGTAGACTGACTTTCCTGTCATTATTTGACTGAGGAATGAAGACTGGTCACAAGAAGTGCATCATAAATGCATGAGTTTAATCTTTGTAATATGAATCATCAAAGGCAAAGACAATAAAGAAAGAATCTTTACTGAATTAAATATAATTGACTCACCTAACTTGACTCTGTCGCATGAAAAGGTGGCTCCGTTTCCACTTGCAGATCTACAATTGCAGAACAGGTTCAGTGTCCTGATAGCAGGCAAGAAGCAGAATGTCATACCTGGGGAAACATCGAAGTTGTCCAAGCATAAACCACATATTATCGACAGGAGGAAATGGCAAGGGATAGTAGTGGTAAGTTTCCATTTGTGGAGGACAGAAGCTCCCATCTGCCTGCTTGGCTTGCTATCTAGAATGATTTGTTGCTTGCCAGGGGCTCAGATCCAAGATGTTGCAGAGAAACCACCAAGGCTCTCAGGCTATTACTCCTTGCTGCTTATCCACATGGGCACCAATGATTCTGCCAGGGGAGTCAAGACTGACTACAAGGATCAGGAGCTACAGACTGGCCAGCTTCACCTTTTCCCCTGTAAAAATCATGGACTAAGACCCCCTGTAGCACATTTCTGGGCCCATGCAGGAGAAGGTGCTTAGGAAGATTCAGCATGGGTTTACCAAGGGTCAGTCATGCCTGAACAATATGATTGCTTTCTATGATAAGATTACTGGATTTGTGGACAAAGGGAGAGCAGTCGATAACTTTGACCTTGCCTTCAGCACTTGTCAGACCTTTCAAAACAGTCTTCCTTCTCTTGACTTAAAGAATAAAAATTACATCTGCTAAATTTCTGTAGAACTTCTACCAGTTAGCACCTGGGTTCTCAGCAGCCTCTGACCGCAGTGTCTTGAAGTGAAAAAAAAATTTACACAAACAATTACGTGTGTCAACTTATGGCTTTGCCATGCTGCAGATATAGGGAAAATATTCTCATATTTGTTTCCATGAAAAAAACAAGACAGATTTTCATTGCATTGGCAGATTATTCTGCTGCAGAGAAGCAATGGTATGCACCCAGATCTCTTAGTGGATGTCTGCAATCCAGCAAGGGAAAAATTTTCTGCAGTACAAAAGCAGACGCTGAGTGGATATGTACTGGCCCAGCACCTGGGGTAACACCACAGATGAGGAGAGGGAATACACAGTGTCAAGAACAGGATGAGAAGATGAGAAATTGAAGATATCAGAAGAAACTTTCTGAGCCACTGTTCACCCTGACAATAGCCAGACGTGTCTTTAAAATCACTGACAACATCACACCTGCAGCTTTGAAGCATTTGACTGGAGACTGAAGTCTGCTCTTGCTCTTTGGCTGAGTGGAGGTTCCCCTTCTTTTTGTCTTTCCTGGACTTTCCCCATCTGGGTCCCTCAAGGCATTGCATGGAGATGTGCTGACATCTTGAGAACCTGCTCTGTCAGGTGCCATCAACACTTACCGTTGATGATCTTGACCTTCTTGACACTGCATTGAGTGTCTTCACTTTCCAGAAGAGGTCATCTGAAGCTTTCTGCTACAGATCTCTGTAGGTGAAGGAGGACATTCATCCCTGAAGGGCAGCCCACTCTGCCCGCATACATGCTCACACGAGCTTGAACGAACCATTCCTGTTTCAGTGGAGTAGTTTCCTTCAGAAACAGCCACCAACTTCAGGGTGTTTTTTGATGGCAGTAAGACACTGAATGTGAGCATAGAGCACAGGTGCTTGTTCTCCACATGGCAAGACCTACACTCTCAACAGCATATGGAAATCATTCCCTCATCCAGGGCAAGCTGTCTGACTCCTGAAGGCAACAGCAGGAAACACAACCACAGAACAGACCTCTTCCCATGTTGGCAGTTGACCCACACCTTCCCTTTTCACTCTGCCACCTCTGTGTGCCAGTGTTGACTTCCTTCCCTATCAGTTCTCTGCCATGATGTTCTCCATCACTATTTCTACCCATTTTGAAGAAGGACAAGGTGTCCTTTGGAGGATCACAGTAAATCACTGTCCCTACACCTTTGCCTCCTCAGCAAAAGCATAAATTCTTCTCAGAGTCTAAGCACACCAGACAGTCATTACTCACAAACAATAGGGTCATAAAACCAGGAGCATGAATAACTTCAAAGGAGTAGAAGCAAAAGACCTGAAAAGCAGAGGGTGCTGGTAAAAAGGAAAACCACCACCAAAGCAAATAGAGAACTATGTTACCCCTTGGAGAGGAAGAACGCTGCTTTTCAACCTCAACTTTTGACTTCTCAACTTGGAGAGTCAACAGTTAGATTCAAACTCGTCAGCTTTCCTAGCTGCTTTCCCACCCCTAGTCTTACTACTCAGCACTTACGTGACAGCTTGCACCTAGCAGACCTCTGCAAAGCTATACAGATTCTCTTTTAGGCACTCCACCATCAGCAAAAGATTCCCCCAAATTCTTGGGCTAACCATCCATATAACTGTTCCTTCTCTTCATCCCCTCACAAACCCATCCCATGCACCTGTAAGTTTTTCAGAAGAAGCTCGCTTTGGTTGGGATAGGCTCTTTTCCTCTCAGTGTACTTTCAACACTTTCTGTCTCAGTGGAGGCCCCCCTCTAACTTCCAGAGCTTTGCAAGATCTACTTCTCGGTCTTTGCTCTGGACCCATTTGAAATAGGCTTTAGCCATGACAGGCTATCAGAGGACAGAAGAAAACATACTCCTTTCTCCTCTGGCGATTCTCCTTGTCAGGGGCCCTGAGGACACTAATTGTCCCAAATTGACCTTATCAGCCTCACCTGGGATCTCCATCAATGCACATTTCACCTGTCATCTGGAGCTCCATTTAAGCTCAGACCTGGGCCACTAGCTCTTTTCTAAGTTATGTTGTAGGTGTATCTGCTTCTGGTTTGGTGTCTAGACTTATTTTCTGGCTGAATCTTAGATCTCTGTTCTAAGTAGTTAGTCTCTAGTTCTGCCTCTGGCCCTCTCTTGTGTGGGCATCAGATTTAACTTGTAGCTTTCCATCTGAGCCTCATCTCCTGCTGCTCCTGGCCAGCTTTCTTAGTGCACCCTGGACCTGATTTGCCACCTCACTTTTCATGGGAGTGCCAAAAGAGCCTGTTACCAGCACCATACCCTGCTGTGCCTGGATACTGCAGAGCTGTGTCCTGATCAAAAAGGGCACTGTCCTTGTCTGTGCTGTGGTCATCCTCAGCTCCTAGGTCAACACCCTTGTGAAGAAGCGTTCTTCTTTGCTGCTCCCTAGCACTTCTTGCCTTGTGTGGCATGAAGCCACCCTCCTGCTATCAAAAGGCCACGTGCTTGAAGCTGTCATAACTGTGCTGGGGGTTCAGGTAATGCCTTTGTTTAGCTTTTGCCTAACCACTTTTCTTCCTTGGGCATGATGCTAGTGTAATGTAGCCCTGTAATATATTGTCACTGCTGGTAACATGCTATAAATTTTGTATTGAGTTTGTAAGGGCCTAGGACTGAGTCTTCTCAGGTTTGCTCTGTCTTAATTTCTTTTGACCTGCGGGCCACTTGGTTTGGATGTGGCAGCAATTTTTCTAACTGCCCAGATATCTATATCTGATTTGTTTTGTTTATCTCTTTGTGATACAAACACAGTTTGCTATAGGTGGCAGTAACAAGCAGTTGTTCCAGGTAGATTGAGACTTTTACAACTCTGATACAATGATATTGAGTAGAGAAATGCAGGTCTGTGATGATAGCAGAGGCTTACGTGCGGAGATACGAGATATGCCATAGAGAATACAGGTATGGGATGAAAAGAGCTGGGCCACATGGTACCAGAGATCCCATGATATAAACAATTCAGTAATGACTAGTTAAACTGCAGACCTGGAGCTGGACAGAAGTGAGTTTAAGGCTAGGAGGAAGAGCAAAGAAATAGTATATAACAAAGAGTATGAAACAAACAGACATCCAAATTTAGTACATAGGGTGCTATGTAACCTGGAGCTGCAGACCAAGGAAGAAAGAGAAAGGTGTACAGGCATGTTAGCAAACATACAACATGTATATACAGTATTTTATATATATACACACACATATGTGTGTGTATAAAAAAGAACTAAGAGAAAGTATAGGCAAAAGAAGAAAATATGGAAGAAGAAAGGAAGAAAAAAACCTGTCAACATAATCACATTTGTGCTGGTAAAGGACTCTATATGTTGTCCACTTACTGTAATATTTTGTCACCTGCCAAACCAGCATGAAACCACTGACCTTCAGACCCAGAAGAGCAGTGGAAGGGTGAGGATAATACCAGGAAAAACGCAGAAACTAAAATGTGTATGCATTACAATTAAAACTGTATTACTGCTATTACTACAGTTTTTTACCTGTAGACAAGTACTCTACCTGCATTATTATTTTTTCTGTAATTATATGATCCAGACTAATGATAGTTTCTGAATTAGACTGTTTCAGCTTTACTAGCAATAATTTCTTGGTCTTTATATACAAGGTGTGTTTTCTCTTTGCACATGGGAGAATCTTGAATGTAATGCCACATGAGAGAATCTAAATTCTCCTGCCTGCACTCCACCATCTCTCATTGAAAGGCCCTGTACAGGATGCTTATTTATCCCTTCTCATCAGTGTAACAAAGGCAAAATTCTGAGCAATTCTGCTCCTGCCATTCAGGGTAACCACACAGCTTGAAGAAATTGTGCTCTTTGCTACCAACGATATTAGGCAGTCATCAGAAAGCAAGAGGACTTCCACAATGGAAGATGTTTCCTCCTAAATTAGGAGACAGTCCTTTAGGACTGAGTAAGAGAGCAGCCTCCAGCACATCTCTGACCTATACAAGGCCCAAGCTTGTATCCTATTTGAGAGGGCTATCGCAATATGATGCCTTCTACAAGTTTGTGATGCCTTCTGGAGGTGTTTTCAGGGAAGAAGTTTCTACCCTGGGAACTGCCAGAGCTTGCATCTGTTGAGGGATATGGATAAACTCAAGGGATTAAGTCCTCTCAAGGCCTTTTTAGAGCTAACAGTGAGGAAGCTCTATCTCTCCTCCTTAGCCTTTCCCCTCTGAAGACCAACACCTGTCACACAGCAGATGAAAGTGAGGCCTACTAAATCTAAATGGCAGGAATCATCTTCCTCTGTTTACTAACAGGTGGATAAGGCAGACACCATAAAATTCTCTCCCTCATGGTCTTCACTTCAAGGCCTCCATGGTATCCCTCTCTCTTCCT